ATTGCAGAGTGTGATAACAGTAACCATTTAATTTATGATAGCTTGCTAAAGGAAGTGTACCCCTATTTGCTTGAGGTCATATTCTACTTTTGCAATTTGTATATTACTGGTGTACTTCCTGTTAAAATCATCCACATCCTCACTGATTTCTCTCACTTTTTTTTTTTTCCCCTCTCCTTGTTTAGATATACCTAGAAACTTGTTAGCATTTGTTGGAAACTTGCTAAAACAGAAAACAACAGTATCATCTGATTGCTTTTTAAACTGTGCAATTTTTCTGCATACAGTAATGCAATACAAGGCAAGGAACATTTGTGTTAAAAAAAAAAACAAAAAAAAAATGTCATTTAAGTGCAATTTGTTTCAGTATCTGAAGTGCATAGGAAGTTTTTTTTCCGAAAACAGACTGAAATTCTTACCAAAGATTAATATGCCCTCTAAAAATTATCATACTGTTTTACCCCCACTCCTCCTTGTTGCCCCTGAGAGCCACCATTTTGTCATCGCTATCTCCCTGCATGTGCACAGGGCACCCTGGGACTGGCTGGAGCAGCTGCCCCCAACAGTTTGCCCAAAGCAGGGTGGAACTGGAGGTCCCCTCCTGCTACAGAGTTGGGGGCACCACTTTGCTTCAGCTGTCATCTCATGGCAGAAAGCCATAATGTCTGGCCACCTCATAACCCACACGCTTACATATCGCCCTGCAACTGACTGCCAGCACTGCAACGTCAAAGGCATGTGACCTCAGCATGCTCTCTGGTTGGCTGCTTATTTCCTTTGGAAAAAAGTTCCAGAAAGTTCCCAGATATAAATATATGTCCATTTATATGTATGTATATTTATAGTAAATCTAAATATAAAATGCTTTATAAAGATGTAAAAATGTGTATTTTACTTATACTTTGTACCTTATATATAGCTTTATAGAAGTATTATATATAATATAGATATATATATACTTTATGTAGTGTAAAGATATACAAATTAAACCTCCCTCTCTCTCTCTCTAAATAAAAGTGTAAGCATAAAATGTGTAAAAATATTTGTTAGAAAGATCTAATGAAATTAATTAATTAAAATTTAAATGTGAATGGAAAGTAATTAAATAACAGCATAAAGTAGGTTGGGGCCCCCCACTTCACAAGTCCAATGAACAAATCCTGACATGTTTTGGGTGGAGGGAGGTACAAGAGGATGAGGAGGGGGTATGAGGCAGGCAGGGTGGGGCGAAGGGCACGATCAAGTGGGGACATGCCCAGGGGCTACTGGCCTGTCCTCAGACATGGCCCACCAAGGGGCCCCTGGGCATCCCCTGCATGTGCAAAGAGGAGCCCAATCCTGGAGCCCCGCATCTGGCGCCAAACTGCCTGCGAGGATGGCCATGCACCGTTTATTCCTGGGGCAGCTTTGAGGCTTTGCGCTGTGTTACAAGTCACAGGCATCTCTGTCTGCAAAAGTGGAAATCCAGAACAAAAGGCCAACTTCAGAAGAACATGGATGTGAAGACAATAAGGACAAGCTCCAGCAGGACTCCCACAAAAAGACCACCTGAAGCAGAGGAGCCATCTGACAGGCCTGTGAATCAGGAAACGATTTCCAGGTAAGTTTCACAGAGAAGGGGCAAGTGCTGGTGGGAGCTGCCTTTGCCCACTGGTTTGGGGGAACTTTGAAGTTCCTCTTTACATCACTGTGAGGTACAGGCTTGTGCTATATCTGTTTCCTTATCCTTAGGTCGATGTCCTTATAGAACGTTTTAAAAAGCTCCAGCTGACTAGCTGAGGAGGCAGAAGACAGAATTGTTCCTATCTGGGCCTGCAGCAGTTCA